ACACCCCCCCCCCCCCCCCGTCGCCTATTTTATGTTTTATGAAATGAAATAGTGTTTAGCGTCCTACTGTTCTTTTCCGACTGGGCTAATGAAGACGGCTCCCATTTTATGAACAAATTGATTTTTGTTTGATGTTAGTCTCAACTATTAACTGTCTTTTACAGTACTGACATCAATATAAGGACCCTCGATGCAGCATAGATTCATATTACAAGATGGCTTGTAAAATCCGATCTACAGATAATAACTTGACATGAATAATAAAATATACGTCTTCGATTTTCTACTGATATATAATTCATCAAGTATAATCTGTCTTTTATGACAGTATTATTATACTCGAAGACTGATAACTACCGGAACAATAAACGATGACACAGTTCTTAAAGCTTCACATCTGTCGTTTAAAATAATCGAAATCCGAGTGACAAGATGTAATCAAACTTAAACTCTATGACCCTTGACGTTAGAGAAATGTCAACTTGTTCCATAATAACGTACTATAAACGAGATTTTTTTTGTAAATAAATGAACAGTGGTATCAGGTGTTCTAGATTGAAAAAGCATAATCTGACTCGTGTACGTGGCAACAGTGTTGACCATGACCTAAGCATCTAATCTTGGGGAAAATGATCGCTTAGCAGAATACACACGAGAAAGTGAACTTCATACCAAATACAAATAGAAAGTGACATAAAGTGTTCTAGAGAGTGTGGTCATAATTCATCAGTTGATACAACTACAATTCGTTTCCAATCACTGTAAGAGTTGCACTTCTTTATTGAAATGAAATAAAATGGGGTTTAACGTCCTATTATTCTGCTCCGACTGGGCTTAAGAAGACGGACATACATGTACGCCATACAGTGTGCTATGGGGGACATTTTTCCCGGGCAGTGGCACTATGGCCTCCTCTTATATCGAATTCCAACTGTTAAGGGATCTTTTACGTGCATGTCAATGTATACACGGGGCCTTGGTTTTTCGTCCCATCCGAAGGACTAGATAACTGCCCTTGCACACTTTTTTAATGAATGAATTGATACAAATTCAACCCAACCTTTTCTTATTGATGAAATCTTTCTTTACAAGAAATACTCTGACCCAAATCTTTAATGCACCGTGCACATGGTGTACAGGCGGATTATAAACACAGTATCACATATCTTAACTTCTATTTAAATCTACCCACGTTCAACATACTTTTGTTACGCATCTTTCATATCAATCTAAACACAAAAGAGAAAAATGCTGCAAAATGTCATGTCTAAAAAGGCACGTGTTTATGAACGCAGAACACTCGGTACAAAATACTAGTACACCGGATGATGACATCACGACCTTTCCACGTGCAGAAGAGTCGAGACCTTAGGGGTCAGCCTCCCCCTTCTTTCAGTCAGTCTGCCAAAATGTGCCTTCGTCAAATAAAACATGTTTTTCTAAGCAAGCTGCCTTCTGTTCAATATGCGAATTGTTTGTCTGTTTCAGCTCAACAATATAATATTCCCATGATGAACCGCCGATTCCAAACCAACGCCCAGATAAAATTATCCCTATTATTCACAATTCGGCCAATTACCGCCTCAACACTACAAAGATGAAGCGATGTGGAAGGAATCGTCCCTAGTTTCGAGGTGAGTCATAGGGCAACTGTGGTTATTCCATCATAATACCACGAGAATATTGATGACGAATAGCATTATTGAGTCTAAAACAGTAAATCAACAGACGAAACTATGCCAAGATTTCAATTACATTTATCAATCATCAGTCTAGGTCAACAATTGGCGAATTACCATTTCCTTTCCTTTTGTTTAGATTATGAACTATAAATGGTCCAATGTCAAAACCTATTTTCCTTAATTAAGAATTCCCTTCTGACCCAATATTGTTCTATAAGCAATGTGCCAAAGTAAATAAAATGAAATGCTGCTTGACGTCCTATATTTATGTCCCAACTAGGCTAACGAAGACGGCTTTTTGCGTCTAAGACACCCGATGTTCCCAGTCGGTCCCCTGACCTGGTCCTAACCTGATCTGACGCTGTTTCAGTAATCGGTCGACAGCTTATTCATGGTGGTACAGTCGTTGGCATAGCGATTTGGCTGATCTGAACCCATAATTGAATTGATACACTTACTTAAAGGAGCTAAATCGCTAGCATTTGGGACCTAGAAATTGAGAAAAGTGGGTCGCAACGCATATAATACTGTAATATGAATGTATATAAACTGATTTACATTAAATTGTTTCCGTTTTTACTCCAATTCCAAATCAGTTATGTTCGGCGAAATGAGCCAGCAGTCTCAAGCGAGTGCAAATTTCTAGCGTCTGGTTATTTCAGTCTACATACGCCGTTTCATTTGGTGCAATGTGTCTAGCCTCGTTCCTCGAGTATCTTGATAAAACTGGGTCTGAAGCGCATTATGGTACACGATTCGTGTACCAATGGTAAAATGTTTATTTTGTCTTAAATATTGGATATCAAAAGCCCATCATAAGATCATAACATGAATGTTGATTTAATTTGACAAATAAATCGTGTTTTCAATGTTGAAGATTTTGGATGATACTGAGTTAGAGACTTAGCTACTTTAATCTTCAGTAATGTTTTCCAAGATGAAATGAAATGAAATGGGGATTAACGTCCTAATTGGCTAATGAAGACGAGTGTTTCTCTAGAACCATTTTGGTAAATGTAGTTTCGCATGTTCTTACAGATCGGTGCGAACTATATGATGTATACTCAAGTAGAACAGGATAACCAATCCAGAAACAGAGATTAAATTAGGCGGCGAATTGTTTTCCAAGCAGATCATTAGCTACAAGTTACAAGAACTTAACTAACAACGTGGATTTGTTTGTTTTCGAGACATGGAAGATCGGGGGAAGATGTACTGCATCTAGATCTTGCGTGAGTAGGTTTGTTCCAAAAAGATCACAACTGTCCATAAAGCGGGATAATAATAAATAAATATATGCCATACACACAATGAATTTGACATTTCAATACATGGATGTGACATTTCAATACATGGATGTGACATTTCAATACATTAAGAGGCCACTCCCGTTAAGTTATGTCCGAGATTTGAGTAAAGAATTTTCGTTCGGCGCAAGATTCAGCGACGGCCAAATTTACCGCTTCCAATGCATCCAAGCGTAATATTTAATTTATGTCGGCACAACAAGCAACGAGATTTTATTAAGAGGCCACTCCCGTTAAGCGGTCATTTGTGAAAATTCCCTTGGGTGGCTGCTTAATGCAGATTCTACTGTACATGGATGTGACATTTCATTCAATATACTATTAATGTGACATTTCAATCTTAATATTGTAATGTTTTATGTAGAAAGCTGTGTGTGCATTACGTGTTTTATAGTCCTACTGCCAGCCACCGAAGTCATTCCATTAATTGAAGCCGCATTTACTCCGTGAATAAGGCACTGGCTCGTTAGCCAGAAAGCCCCGATTTCGATCCCGGTGTTTCCGGCGTTATTTACCCTAGTCGGTGATGCAGGATAGAGGGTCGGGCAAGGAACGGTGCCTAATCGTTCGGATCGAATAAAAAAAACAAGTTCCGTGTAGACAGTGGCAGTCGAAATTGGAAATAAGAGTAGGACGGAGCACTGCTGTCCGGGCAAAATGTCCCCAAGAGGAAAACCAAAACTTTCTCTGGAACAGAAAAGAAGTCCAATATGATGCATAGTTAAACATTCGATTTAGGTGTGCGCATGTCTTACCAGGTACTGAAATGGTTCAATATAAGATTGTGTTTTCTCGACCAATTTGGACACGTGACCGTTTGGCACAAAATCGGTATTTGGTCCGACTGGTCCGAATTCCCCTGTGCACGACAACTTCACTAGTGACATATAACGACACAGACAAAAATTGCAAAATTATTTGCGAAAATCGTAAAGTCGTTCATCGAAACCAGCACTATGACACTTATCCTCGAGAATGTCGCTAAAAACTTTGTGATGTATCTGATGTGTTTGTCGGAGGACCGAGTGATGATGTACCTAATCTATGTGACACTATGTACTTCAGAGCGCACCACGGAAGCACGGTGGCTAAGTGGATAAGACGCTGGATCTCTAGCGTGTTCGATCCCTGCATTGGCCGAGAAATTTCATCGGGATTTTTCGACGTGGTTTCCCCTTGTCAGTGGAGCAGGACGAAGGGCCTGACAAGGACAGCTGTCTAGTCATGCGGATGGTACAAAAACCCGAGGTCCCGTGTATACATTGGCGTGCACGTAAAAGATCCCTTGGCAGTTGGAATTCGATATTTGAGTAATCCATAGCTGCTGCCCGGGGAAAAATTCCCTCATAGCACACTGTATGGCGTATGCCCGTCTTTATTAGCCCAGTTTAGGGGCAGAACAGTAGGGCGTTAAACCTCATTCATTCATTCATCCATTCATTCAGAGCTCATCCTTATACACATTGAATACGCAATATGATCAAATGTAACGTCCGATTTATGTGCGCGTAATCTTGTATTTCCTTAATGAACTTGAACCCGCCAATACACGTGAAGGTTTAAAACGCAACAAGATGTTTGGCATTGGGTTCGTAGCTGTGTTATAATAATAGATTATAGGTAACAGCTCTGAGAGAAGTTTCAAAATGTTAACCGAAAATCATAAAAAACGTAGTATTATCTACTCGACCGTTAATACCAATAGCGATCGAATATGTCCAGACATTCTATAGACATAATTACAAATCAATACCAGAGAGGGAAAATGGCATTTTATGTTCACCGCCAAGATATTATAAAGGGCGACATTCTCGATTTTAAAAACACTCGAATAAAATCAATAAAATATCGAAGGCACAAATAAAAAACACGTACAAGTCAGTCAGTGCTCTTAGCGCGGAGAATAAACATTGAACAGTCAATACACTGTGAAAGTTTAAAACCCGCTTTAAACCACTAAAATAAACATATAATATAAAGTAGTTTTAAAACAATATATTAAGTAACTTACCGGCATCACTGATATTAATACGTGGTGGTAACACGTTCCCTTTAAATGTGCAATATACCATCATTTCTGCTACATAAACCGAATCGTACATCGGCTTCGGTTCGGGGTAATGCGCGGTAATTTTTCCATACACAACATATTCCGAATGAAAAAAACGTTCTTCCAAAGCAGCCGGTTTTTTCCCAGGAATTGGTGAACATCCACTAGAAAATTGCACAAATGCTAAGAAAAAACATATAACACTAAATAAGGCCATTTGAGATGAGATGGGAGCCATATTAGACCACGAGGTGTTTAGCTAGTCAGTGATAGAACTGTACAGCCTGAACGAAAGTTTCTTCTCTCAACGCTATATTACAGTGATCACACTGCACACACAATCAACCTGACTTCACTTGCTGGATGATAGCAGGAGCTCTGACTGGTTTATCCAGACGCACAGCAGGAGCTATTGTTGATTACGCCACTCGCGGCGTAGACTTGTTTGAACCAGACACCCAATCTTCGATCGACTGTCAAAGAAGCAGACGATTCTGCACGCAGCGTGCGTTGTCATTCGGAACGACACGAGCGTGACCCCAATGAAGCGTTGCGTACCGTTACTGGTGGTTTTGTCATTCTAAAATGGTTTATTTTTAAACCAAAGACTTAAACACAAACATACAGTCCTAGGTCCATCTAGAAATCAGCCAGATTTCTTCAAGTTTAGGAATGTGACCTCAAAGATAATAGAGATCTGTTGAAGAGAATCTTGTCATCAACTTCTCAAAGATAATAAATTGTCGCCCAATTATTATCTATTTAGATGGTGCAGTGTTTAAGTGTCATATTACACTGCTCTATATTTAGAACGTACAAGCTTCATGTAGATGGGTTTGAGATTTTCAATTCAAATTGAACTAAAATAAGGAAATAATAGAAAATAATCAAATTGGAAGTAGAAATAAACAAATTTAATAACAAATTAATATAATGAAAATAAAATTGATTCAAATATTACATAAAGTAATAATAAGATATAATTAGATGTAATATCTAATGCATCTTATTTTAGCCAGGTTATACAAATATCAGGTTCTATGAGACTTTCAATTCAAATTGAAATTGAGTAGAGAAATCAATCAAATTAAATATAGAAATAAACAAATATAATAACAATTTAGTATAATAATAAAAAAAATGGATTCAAATATTACACAAAGTAATAATAATAAGCTTATATAATGAGATGTAATACATGTATGTACAGCACCTTGTCTAAGCCAGGCTATAAAATATCTTACACTATTTTACTCATATACTTTGATATTGACCAATTTGATGTTAACCAATTAAATGATTTTGGATTTTTTTCCTGGGGAGAATACTATTCATAAGTAAAACAAGCGTTGTTGAGCACATTATCCTTGTATAACTCTTGCCAGTGGCACTTTACATTCACCTATGAATATTTATTTCCATAGAAAGGGCTCAATGTCGAAATATTTACGGCCTATTGAGCCATCGTACATGTATATTATATGTGAACACAGGGTACAAATTTACAAACTTATCAATTATTATTTAAGAAAATTGGATCCAAAAATATCTTATGTTGGTTCATAGATATGAACATTTAATGATTTTTTAAATAGAGGGAGAGGTTACCAAAAACATATTTAATATACAGCGTTGCCATGCAAGAGACGCCAACATTTTGCAAGAGATGGACAGAGAACAAGCTTTAAAAAAATGTTTTTCGTACAATCAGGTATCATAATGCAGGCAGACACGGTCCGAAGTATCGACTGGATTCAAGAACTTTGGGATATAAACATATAAGCGGACAAGATAAAAACGTGATTTCTCGTACAATCGGGGGGGGGGGGGCATAAGACAGGAAATTAGGTCTGATATGCGCGAATATCAAAAGGAACAGAGATATTTGTCGGTAATGAAACATTTATAATACACTAAAATCTGATTACGGTAACAACTCATTAAGTAATTATCAGAAATCATTAGAATTTGTTTGGCCCATGCTGACGTTTACTACACAAAACATTTAATATCATATATTTAGCTGTTTAAGTTATCAAATAGCATTAAAAATCAACATAATTGTTCGTCTCAAGACCTTAAACTATGTGTATCACTCTAAAGTCAATCGAAATAATCATGATATAGGCGTTAACACGGTGTATAAATATAAAATCAATCAGCTGATAACTATCTGGCAGTAATTATCGGAATTCATTGAAAATCAATAGGCTTCTTCGTCTGATGACCTTAAAGACTATGTATATACTTAAAGTCAATCGGATATTTACTTTAGCCCCTAGCGCGTCCACCAAGGGCGTGGATTTGTCATAACTTTTTTGGGGGGACGAACCATGGAACCTTTCATTACCAAATCAAAATAATAATTACGAACAGTTTACCAGTGTTATCTCGATGAAAGCTGTAACTAGGGGTAATATGATGACGATATGGTAAAATTGACTACCTACAATTAAGGAGGAAGATATCGTGAAGATGAATTACTGTAGCGAGACCCAAGGCAGTGGTTAGATAGCCTTCAGAATGGGACATTCATGTGGATATAAACCTGAAAATCTGTCCTGGTGATCAAAATCATGGGGGGGGGGGGGGGGGCAGAGACCCATTCGCCCCCCCCCCCCTTCCGATTCTAATGGGGGGCCCGTCCTCCCCACTCCTCCCTAATCCCTCCACAAGATTTATCAAAGTCATAAAGGGCCATATATGTAACTCTGGCAGTAATTATCGGAATTCGGTGAAAATCAGTAGGCTTCTTCGTCTCATGACCTTAAACATGGATATAATTTAAAGTCAATCGTATATTAACTTTACCTCTAAAGGGTTCACAACCTTGTGTTACATACTTTTACGCTATATTTCAAGTTTCGTCAATATCGGATGAAAATTGTGACCTTTAGAGTGTCCTCAAAAAATTGTGCACAGACAGGTGCGACTCAATATACAAAAATTAGGATCGGAGGAATATGAGCACTTATATTAAAATAACAGCTCTTGTCTAGTATCGGTGTTCTTCCTGAAATAAAAAAAAACATGTTATGTATCAAGTTGTTTAGAAAATTGGTTTTAGTGCAGTCTCAATAGTAATAATATAATTGGCATTTTACTTTGCATCATGCTACTGTTTTCGTAGCAAGCAAACTGCAAATAATGCTTGCAGTACAAGAAGATATAAAATTGGGATAAATTGCTTACCTTGGAGTAGAAGTTTGTGGTCTTGTCTTCCGACGCCTTCCTTTTTGGGGGGTTTCATTTGGTTTGCGCTTAGAGGTTGTAGATAAGGATGTTGCAGACGAGGTTGTTGCAGATGTGGTTGTTATTGTTTGAGATAATGATTGTACCTTCTTTTTGTGTCGTCCAATTTTGTCTAAAAGTTCGAACATGGGACCTCCAGGTTAGCGAGCCAGTGTTTACCTCACTGAGCCATCATGACTCCCGAAATAAAGTTAAAACATTTTACATACAATAAATAAAGAGACTTGCCTTTAAATCAAAACAGAGTTCTAATATTGCAGTTATTAATTCAAGTGACGATTAGATGTTCGTTCGTCATTTGTTCCTGAGGTTTTACGTCCACTTCCACCAAGGATGATATTCTAGACAAGACGATTTAGACTAATACTACTACCTGGTGCTTTAACGTCTGCTTCCACAGAAGTGATGTCACAGAAGATTTGTCCGCGAATATAAAGGCTGGAATTTCCAGCCTACTTATTTTCTAATAATTTGATTAGTGGATGTGTAATCATTTTTCTAAACACCATTGGAAAACTAGAGGTTTATCCATTGATTGGTTAAAAACCAATCTTGACTAACTTAAATCCTTCAAGTGTCATATTGAGTAATTTGTATATAATTAGTGTTAAGCTGTTAATAAAAATGTTATATATAAAAAGAGCTTTTTATTTTAGAAATTAAAATGTTGTCATTTGATACTCACAATGGCAGGTTTATAGCTATCAACACTTATCTAACTGAACTATTTATATCAGGCCAATAATGCCACTCAAGTTGGACATGTTGTTTAGATTAGCATTCCAGGCAATTAAAAATCAGTGAACCGGGCCAAACCCAAACATCCAAAATTTAGCTCTTTTTTCTAGATGGTCCTAGGGGTGCATAAACGAGCTGGCAACTGGCAAGCTGAACGAGGATTACCGAATTGTACTTTTATGGTTAAAAATCGATCCTTTGCGTCTGGTTCGCTTTGTACCTGAATAAGGGCAGTTTTTAACACAAAGAAAAATTTGAAATATATAGCGTAGGGTAGGCAGCTGTCAAACATTATATAATATGCTTTTATATAAATTAAAACCGAGGTTTACCACAAGAGAAAAGAATTACCACGTCTCAATAATTACGTAAATCATAAGGCGGTGACGTTTGATGCGCGGACAAATCTAGAAAATACCCATTTATCGCTTTATTAAATCAACTTAGAAAATTAGTTTGATGTTTTGTTTCATAATTTCCTTATAGATATGGTTTCAACCATTTAAACCGAATAAATATGGTTTAACATAATCGAACCGAATACATATGGCTTCAATCAAGCGAACCGAATAAATATGGTTTCAGCCAATCGAACCGAAAACATATCGTTTGTGTTCAATCATTCAAAACGAAAATATATCGATTCAACCAATGGAACCGAATAAATATTATAGTTTCGACCAATCAAACCGAACAAATATGGTCTCCTCAACCATCCAAACCGGTATTGCTTAATATCTGACCCCAGTGTTTGATTATCACATAGCTCAAAGTAATTGATCTACAACAAATGGATATGTTGTAAAATGTTGGTCCATATTTATCTTGATTTAAACGATTGCGATCCGTTTATCAAATATCGGCCATTTCTGTTTGTGTATTGAGGATTTTTATTTACAGAAAGACTTTCAGTACAAATATTAAGACTGCCATGCTCCATTGCACATTGCATAACATAGCATTTACAAACGAATATATTTGATATTAAGCTAATGGATGTCGAATAGTGTACACGGCTTGCCTTTACAAATATGTTACAGAGTGAAATAAATGAAATGAAATGGGGTTTAACGTCCTAGTGGGTTAATTAAGATGGGCATACGCCATACAGCGTGCTCCCAAGAAAATTTCGCCCAACTGTCAATGGATCTTTTACGCGCACGCCACTGTGTACGCCGTCCCATCCGAACGACTATACTTTGTCCCTTGCCAGGCCCTCTGTTCTGCCCCACTAACAAGGGAAACCACGCCGGAAAATTCCGATGAACGTTCTCGGCCACTGCAATGATCGAACACGGGACCTTCAGTTTAGCGGGCCAACATCCTATCCCCGCTCCCACAAAGTGAAATGAAATGAAATGGGGTTTAACGTCCTACTGTTCTGCTCCTATACTGGGCTAATG